CCATGAAGTGTGGTCATGCACACAGGGGCAATGTGTGCCTTGCTCTTGGCTTGGCCAAGCAGCAGCCAGGTGTTAGACACAATTTATTCCCTGGGGCTCTCGGTACCCCTAGTTTTTCATGTGGACTCTGACGGATTTCTTTCTAGCAAGTCACAGAAAGTTTTCCCGTTCTTTTGGGCGTGGTGGGTTGGGTTGCAGGGATCTATCACCACTTCAGTGGACCGTCTGAGGTCTTGGCTGCATGTGGGAAGTTAGCAGGCTGAACAGAGGCAGCCCTTGAGCCCACAGCCAGCCAACAAAAGCCAAAACCGCTCGTTGACTCAGCTTTACGTACAGCAGGAGCTGGGTGGATGCAGTTCGAGTGAGAACTAGGTGTTAACTTGAGGTTAAGACACTTGAGCAGTGATATGCAGGGTGGTGGTGTAGTCTTGTGAACGTAGGAGGAGAGTCTGAAAGCACTGTACTTAGAGGCAGCTGGGATTCAACCTCTTATTCCTCTTCCACCCCGTGGAAATATTTCCTCTGTACGGGTCTATCGTTGTCTCTGATTTCCATTGCTGTGCAGAGAAGAAGCCGCACACTGCTTCCCTGGTCCTGCACCACGGGGAATTAGCAGAGTTTGACGTGCTTTTCAAACCCCCCCTGGCCTGCCGTGTGGAAGGGAAGATCCGCCTGTCAGTGGTGGACAACCCGTATGAAGAGACCACCATTCAGCTGGTGGGCGAAGGCTACGAGGATGACTTCACGCTAGATAACATCTATGGACTAGCAGCAGACAGCAAGGAAGAAAACACTGAGGGAACTGTGGAGGAAGACGTGATTGAGGGTAAGACAGGCTGTCAAGATGGAGCAAGGAATAGGAAAATACACATTTCTACTCACCTTGTGTTGGTGCAGGTGTGGTCCAGCCTTAGCGGACAGATCCTGCTGCCTTTTGGAGCTTACAGAGCAGCCACACTTGGGAGCACAAGGGAAGATTGTCTGTCAAGGGAGAAGCTTGCAGGCTAGCAGAGAAGGGTCAGAGATACCAGCGTTCGGCTGAGTATCTCTAGCAGGAGGTCTACCAGCCGCTGGTACACGATGGGAGATGAAGACCATGTGTGATGATTTGTCCTCTGTATGACCAGGCCTGTGCCGTCACCCACCGGAGCCAGTGGTCTGTGAGCGTGCCTGCCGTGTGCGCGGAGGCAGCACGTGCTGCACTGCTGTCTCTGCACAGACACAGCCACGCGTTTAGGGAGACGTCAGGGCATTCGGGCATATGCTTGTCTGTGCGTGTGAGGGGGGCAGATGGACCTTACCGCACGCTGAGATCTCTTGCACTCATTCTTAACAGCTGCCAGAGTGGACCACATCCAGTTGTATTTTAAATGTGTTTGATTTTTCATGCTGAAGTATGGCTCCTGGCTTTCTGCATACAGCAAATGTACAAGAAAGAAAAGCGTGCACTGGGTTTTCATGCTGAAAGTCGACCTTTAGAAATGCAAACATCTCTCCCTTTAGAGTATCAGAAGATGACAGTACTAATCTGCAACACTGATCCTCCCTCTGATGGCCCGAGTCACGTTTTGCTTGTCTAAAGCAAGGAACTTGATCTCAAGTCACTCACTCAGCATCCAGAGGCATTATTTGGGAAACCAGTCATGAATAAAGGCGTGACATTGCCACACATTTTAAGAAAGATGCACTCTCAGAAAACACTTCAGGTCACTCTGATCAGTCTAACAAAAGCTTCAAAAACAAAACCAAACAAATCCCCCCCCAACACAAATACAACCAATTACACAAACAAATCCCCAGAATAATCACTACCTTACCCAGCTTAAATGGGTGAGAAACTCCAGATCTGCACAACCACATATGAAATCCCCTTAATTAAGGCACGCCAAAAATGACAGAGAAAATGTTTCCTTGGCACAAAACCCCCCCAGTCCCCATCCTTACTCAGATACCGCTTTCTTTTCTTCATCGCTCTCATATTCAGCAAGAATCAGCTCCTCCTCACTGTGATCCAGCTGCGCCAGAGCATCCACTCCAGCTCCCTCTGAAAGAACCTCCTTGCTGAGCTGAAGCAGACGCTTTGCCTCATCCTCCTCAGACCTCTGAAAGGAACAGACGATCACATCATTTCCCATGCAGAAAGAGAGTTATGCGTTTTAGGGGAGAGGTAGGTGCACGGTGAGCTGGTACGCTCACACGAGATGGGGAAATCGTTTTGACAAGAGAAGTTTAGCCAGATGCAAACTATCGATCTCTGCCAAAAGCTGACCTGTTGCAGCCCGGGTTGAACAGGAGGTCGTATTTTACGATAGCACATTTGATGGTGTTAAAATCTCTTCATCTGATTCAGTGCCTTTTCACGAACAAGGAGTTAAATCCACTGCACTCTGTCTCTTGTTTTGGAGAGCAACACTAGCGCTCTTCTGCGTATGCTGGCCAGCCCACCAGCGCATCGTGGGTGAGCTCTGAGCTCTGTCTGCACTGATACAGAGATTTTGGTTGTGGTGTCTCTACCATCTGTCTATCTGTATGGCAGTTGGGCAGGAGTCAGAAGAAAGATTGTCTCCAGAAACTCTTGCTTTTACTATTACAATTGCCAAACACACTTACCTTGGGTGATGGTTCTTCCCTAGTTTCTGGGTGATTGTAAGGGCCGTAAACCAAACTTCTTCCCCATCAGAGCATCAGCAGCTGGAGACTTTCCTAGCGAGTTCATTCCCATCCCAAAATGCCCGTCCCCAGCCCTCTCCAGCATGGTTGTTGCCCCACACATGACATCTGGAAAGCCCTTTCTCGTAAGACAAGAAGGAAAAGGTGCTTTCTAGGTTTGTTCATTCTTGGGGTTCTCAATCTACAGAGCTCCAGCAGGGGAACATCTCCTAATGTGGAGGCCTGCTGGGTTTATAAGGGGCCAGGAAAAGGGTCAGACACCCTACAGGGTTGAAACATGGGGACTGGTACTTGGTCATAGTCCCCATGGGTGTATTCACAGTGGTGGTGGTGATTGCTTTGATCAGTAGGTAGAAACAAATACTATAGTGGAAGGGCCAAGTTTAGTCATCTTTCCAGGGAATTAAATGGGAATGGTCCTTCCTAGCCCCTGTACGTGGCTGATTTTGGAGGTCGAAAGGCTCCCTGCTCAGTTTGACTTTATGGGCTCTGCTGAGTGATTCTTCCCTCTCCTGTTTGGAGGTGATTGGGACCGACCCAGCACCAGCTCACACTGTCCTGGAGAAGAGCAGCCGTGAGGTAGAGCTTCGCCTTAGTGCTGTTGTTGACTATGCTGACTTCAAGCTGGATACGGACGTGATTCAGTTCAAGGAGACCTTGCTCTTCCAGACGAGCATGTTCACGTGAGTGCTGGACGCCAGGCTGGGACCTGCGAGTGGGAGCTGCCTTGCCCAGGGCTGACCCAGTGTCTGCTTCCCCAGAGCCGTGCTGAGCTCTGAGGTGGCCTCTGCTTTTCCTGCTCCTCGTGGTGCTGTGCCAGCAGAGGTTACACCGACATGCTCATTGCTCAGCCACTTAATAAACCTCCTCTAATCTCCAACAGGCTGATGAGCCTTGGAGGGGGAATCACGCTTGGAGGGGGATGCTGCTGCCCGCTGGGTCTGAGGTTCCAGCTTACACACATCCTGGGGGCCTGGAGATCTCCCACATCTGGACACGAGTCCCTTCAAAGGCTTTACCTTCTGTCTCACTGGCTTGTCATCCCTTTAAGCAAATCATTAATTGTTTCCTCTTTTCCAAGTCCTGGCGGGGTGCTGGGGCCCACATATCTGCACACAAAGCCAAGCTGGAGACGGTGGCTGCCGTCCTGCCAAGTCATGCCAGGAGAGGTTCATTTCTGTCATGCCTTTTAGCTGAGAACAGCCACGGTTTTGCTTTCATTTCATGTTGCCTGTCCTCATCTGCTCGAGGGCGAGTTTGCAGGCAAAATAATGGCAAACCAAGACCAGAATAAGACCCTTGAATTAAGTCTCCTGGACACCATGGCTGCCCTTTCCTCTTTAACTTCCAAACGTTGAAATCGTTGCTGCCCAGGGCAGCAATCTAGACGTGGCGGAGTTGCCTGTGGAGGAAGATGCTACTCAGCATAAAGAAAGGGGTACCAGGAGCCCACTGTACAGTGTTACTTCTCTACTCACTTTGTATTTATTGGACATTTTCTTTTTATTTCCCTTTCTTGCTTTTCAGTTTCCAGCTGTCCAATACAGGGAACGTGGCCCTGGAATTCGCCTGGATGGTGGCTGCGAAGGACGAGAGGGCGGCGAGCCGCAGCGGGGAGTTGCTCCCGCCCAGTCTGGATGGTAAGGGGCTGGCTCTGGGTGGCAGCTGGGGGTGCTCGGGGTGTTTCAGTCAGTAGCTGAGGGCTCGGGGAGAAGACCATGCCACTTCCCCCAAAACAGGAATTGCTGTTTCATCCCTGTCCAGTCCTCCACTTTCATCAGCATCTTCCCAGTTGCAGCTGGAGGCTTTCTCCTTGTCCCCTCGCTGCCTTTCAGACCCTCCTACACTTGCTCTGACACATGTGCTCTGTGCAGGAGCTGAGCCTGGCTCAGGAGAGCCCCATGGTGGGTCAGGACTGGGAGGGGGGCACATCAGGGCATCTTTTTGGAAAGTGTCTGAGACAGAAAATTGGTGCTGTAACAACGAGTTACCTGAGCTGCAGTCACCGTCCGTGCAATTCCCCAGTCCAGGGCAGGTCCAAAGTCGCTGTCTAAAATTAACCCTCCTGCCTTGGGCAGCGGGGTGTTCGCTGCAGGCAGAGACCCTGCTGGCGGCAGCTGGAGGAGCCTGGCAGTGGGGCCGTGGCTCGTTAACCTGCAGTAATGTGTGTCAGAGTGCGCGGTCTCCTTGGGAGCAGCGTGGTTCTGCGGGGAAGCGGGGCTGTGTGTCCAGGAGGTCTTGTCAGGAACAGGCATGAGGAGAGCTGTCAACCCTTGCATTTCCTAGCATGGGCAGCTTGCCTGATGGTCAAGACAAGAGACCTCAGCTGAACTCCTTGATGCTCCGAATGAGCTTAGCTCCCTGCTGTGCGGGTCCTGGTGTTGGCTCTTCCCCGGCACAGGGCACCCTCATGCTGAAGCTGGTCTGCTGTGCCATTAGCTGTCTGGTCGTCGGTTATGAAAGCCTGACAAAGAGGAAGGGAGGAGAGGGTGTGAAGGATAGAGCAACGCTGTTCTCCAAAGCCTGCTTTCCACCGTGCACAAGCAGAATGCAGTTCTGTAGGCAACACAGGAGTGCGAACTTCACACTGTGCTGAGTGCCAAGTGCTGAGGCTGGCTGCACTGGAGTGTGAAGCAGTGCCCAGGAGTTGTCCCAGATGTTGTCGCAGTCACCTCTGCTGTTAATACCTGGGTGTGGTTTGGGAAGGAACGCTGGACAGAAACAGTTCTGCAGGAGAAGTGTGCATCTAAGCTACCCAGTCATGGAGATGAGGGGGCTGAAGAGCACGGAGTGAAGTGTCTGGCTTCAGTCCTGGGCCTGCTTAATTTGCTAACGGACATAGCCTTCCGGACCATCATCTGAGCATCTTGTACAGTGATGTTCCATGGTGTGGTTTGACTTGAGCAGTTCTTGGGTCTCCGCTGGGCCTTTTCACTGTATTTGCTATCCCCCATGCTCAGTTCTCCCTCCTGTCCTCTCTTTCATGCCTGTCCCCGGGACTTTCTGGGATTACGATTATCAAGCGGTAACTCGGAAGCAACATGCAACCTGACCGCTCTCCCTGTTCCTCATCAGGGGGAGTGCTGCTGAAAGCACTTGGCCAGGGGTGCTCCAAGCGCATCCCAGCTCCTTTCTGTCCACCTGCCGCAGGAGGCAGAGGTGCTGGGAGCAGAGGATTTCCTTCTTTAAAGAAGTCCTGCTAACCTCTTCCTTACCACAGGGGATGTCCTCTCCTCCGCTTTTGGTGCCTCTGCGAAGCTCCACCCCAGCCGTTGTTTGAGCCAGGTGGGCCGCGCTCTGGAGCAGGTCTCTTCCTCCCTAAGCTCATCTCTGAACACCGTCAGTGCCACCCCAGCGTTCTCTGTCGAGCCCCGCAGCGGCACCATCTCTGCTGGGCAGGAGCAGCTCTTCCAGATGAAGTTCTCTCCGGTCTACGTGGGGGACTTTGAGGGCCGTATGCTTTGCAGGTAGGAAATGTCCAGGCACTTCTCAACTCATGCTACTGATGGATAATCGTGGTATTGCCTCTGGTTGGGGTGGGTGGGAGTGGGGACCTGGGGACAGCCAGCCCCAGAGAGGCAGCAGAAACAACGAACGTACAGGAGCAAAGAAAGATAATCATCCAGCTTTGGTAGAAGAGGTAGGGAGACACTGGGAAATGACATTGTATGAAATATGAAGCTCCTGAAGGGCTGCAAAATGTAGAATGAGAGATCGAGAAAAGCTGTTAAGGAGCCAGCCAGTCCCTAGCTATACTTTCTTAATGGACAAGTACAGCCTCCTTATCTACATAGAAACCTGTGTGCTGTGGTTGACCTCTAGACACCCAAATGTTGGTGTTTCTGCCGTTTCACCTCTGCTGTCTCCATCGTGGGGAGCGCGATTCTGTTTGATTTGCTGGTCAGTGCCTGCATGAAGAGAGGATGCGTCACTGTGCTGTACAAGGAGATAGACAAGCAGTTGGCTGGCTGAAAATGTTAGTCTGGCTAATACCAGTCCTTTACTTCCTAGTATTCCTAACCTGAAGCCAAATCAGAAGGGCCCGGAGGTGGTGGTGGAAGGGAGAAGCTTGATGCCAAACTGCCATTTTGAACTGGAAGACTCTGACTACATCACTGCACAAAGGCGCAACCCAGAGTTGCAGGGACCACAGGGGCCAACGTTTGATCTCCACACAAGAGTGATTGAGTTTGCAGCCATTGGAGTGTGTGGCAGGAACAGCAGGTAGGTGTGGGCATGGCTTCTCCTGTTCATGGGTCTGCTGGTCACCCCTCTTAACCAGAGACCTCTCCAGCTACTCCTGAAAGCCCCAAGGTGCATCTGTATCTTGTCTGGGATCTGCTGACACTTGGCCACCGATCTGGTTTGGGTCTAGAGTCACTGAAGACCAACCGGCCAATTTTTTGTTCTCTTTGTCCTTGTCTTCAATAAGGTATGGGTCAGTCTGGGAGGACCACGTATCCTCGGCCTGTGCAATGTGACCAGTACGACCTTTGTCCCATTGAAGAGCACCCTTGGGACATTCTTGCTTCTTTGAGATATTAGTCAGACAGGGTCAGTGAAGGCTGCAACCACAACAGAGAGTACCATCTACCAAAGGACTCGTAATGGACCTGATTTTACCATTATCACTTGATCTTACCATTTTAACATGCAAGAGTTTGGCTAATTTCTTTGCTAATTTCTTTGTTGCTAGCTGTTAACCTTTAGCCACCTGAGACAGGGCCCCTAGAAAGCAGGTGAAATGTTTGTGCTCCCAGCGTTGTTCCCCTGTACGAAGTAACTCCAAGTAACTCCTTCCACATGGAGCCCAGGACTGGCAGTGCCTGATGTCTGCTGCAGGACGGTGTTGTTAACACCCTGACGCTGCCTTAGTGGTCATTTTTGCTTTTTGTGCCCAGGACATTCATGGTTATGAACCCAACCGATTCCGCATATTCCTTCCAGTGGACTTGCCAAGACCCTGAAGCCCCACCAGAACAAGTGGCTTTCTTCTGCCTCACAGAGAGAGGTCAGATCCAGCCAGGGAAGAAAGCAGAGGTGAGTGCAGATAATTAAGAAGGCAGATCCAGTACACACGTATGACAGTTTAACACTGGCTATGTCTACACTTACTGGGTGTCCCACCTCGCTGTGAGCTTGCCAAGACCATGACGAAACCTTTGACTGCAGTGTAAAGGAACTGGCAGAGGAAGGCGTTCTCACCCTGTACCCCACATCTACCCTGCTTTTGGGCTGTAAGTGGCCCAGCGGCCTTACCTCTGAGCTCACAGCAATGTAAGGTGGAGGTTTCTGGGGCTTCTTGGTGGTACAGACTGCACTCCCACTCCCCTTACCCTGCCAAGGGCAGCAGCTCCCCTTCATTTGCCTCTTTCTCCCGCAGATGAAGTTTGAATTCATCCCCCAGCACTTGGACATCACAGAATCCTTCTGGGTCTTTACAATCCCGGAGCAGAGCGTTTCAGTGCCGTTCCTGTTGGTGGGCAGCACCACCGAGCCACTAGTGACTCTGGACAGGTCCTACCTGAACTTCCACTTGCTGTTAATCGGTGAGCACCGTGGGCATACCTCACGCACTCAGATGTGGACCGCTCTAGGTGTCCGGCAGTCCCATTATTCCAGCTGGCTCCCACGAGAAAGCTGGGAATAGGGCATGAGGGGGAGGAAGGAGAAGGGAGGAAGGCATGTGTCGGGGACGTGGCACGTGGTTTGAGGCTGTTTCTAAGAGGGCATTTGGGGGCAATGCAGGGGAGCCCAGGGAGTCAGAAGTACCTTTCTACATTGGCATCCTGAGCGTGCCACGCTGCAGGCAGTGCTCCTCGCTGCAGATTGCCTGCTGGGCTCAGCTGGCAGGCAGAAGCGTGGTGGGCAGTGGCGGTCCAGTGGCCAGAGTAACGAAAGGCTCTCAGCGGCTGCTTTGTCCTCTCCCCAGGGCATGAGGTACACCAGACTATCTATATGATCAACAGTGAGAAGGAAGCCTTCAGCTTTGCTTTCAGAGAAAGCTCTCTCTTCTCAGAGGGATGCAACGCCTCCATGAAAATAGAGCCCCTGGAAGGCTCCATCACTCCTCTTTCAAGGTGAGAGGGCTCACAGGCCAGATTCCCTCTCCTGTGTGCCAAACGTTGCACTGCCACATTGCCTCCGAGGCTTCCCCCCCCGTAGTCACCAGGTGACTCTCAGCAGCACCATACATCTGCCTGGTTTTGTTCCTTCCCAATGGGGACACCACGAAACTGCGGGTTTCTCCATAAAGTGGCTGTGTCGTGGTTCCAGTGTGCAAGGTCTGCTCTCCTCGCTGTGTTCTTTTGGTGACAGAGCCCACCGAGAGCAATAAGCACCCAAGCAGCGCTGCGGGCAGCGTTTAAGCTCCTCTTGGGGGCCAGCAATAGGCTGCCACAACTAGCTGTGTTTTGCAGGGTCACCCGTCAGAAAATGGGTGCTCTTTTCTTGTGAGCTGCAGCCATGACTTACGATCAGACACGATCGTGAGTTCAAGCAGTGTAACAGGTCCCCAGCTTCTCTGCTCATCCACCATGGGTGTCCTTGCGCCCACTCATAGCCTGCCTGGGCGTAAGGAGAAAGTGTTACCTCCAGGCAGCTTTGCTGGGGCTTAAAAGATGCTGAATTTTGGCTTGCCACAGGGTGCAAGAGAAGAGAGCATCCTGCATCAGTTACTGTGGCTCACCTGAGAAGTGGTAATTCCGTAAATCTCTATACTTTGGTTGTGTCTGCTCACATACCCAGAAATTGCCCACAAAACTTACAAAGAGGCAGTTTGGTGGCACCCGTGTCGTACTGCTGTCGTGGGAGCCGGATGATTCTGGAGAGCAGCTCTGCGGAGAGGGACCTGGGTTTGCTGGTGGATGACAAGCAGACCATGAGCCAGCAGTGTGCCCTGGTTGCCAAGAAGGCCAGTGGGATCCTGGGGGGCATTAAGAGGAGTGTGGGCAGCAGGTCGAGGGAGGTTCTCCTTCCCCTCTACACTGCCCTGGTGAGGCCTCATCTGGAGTACTGTGTCCAATTCTGGGCTCCCCAGTTCAAGAAAGATGAGGAGCTACTGGAGAGAGTCCAGTGGAGGGCTACGAGGATGATGAGGGGACTGGGGTATCTCTCCTATGAGGAAAGGCTGAGGGAGCTGGGCTCGTTCAGCCTGGAGAAGAGAGGGCTGAGAGGAGAACTTATAAATGCCTATAAATATCTGCAGGGTGGGTGTCAGGAGGACGGGGCCAGATTCTTTTCAGTGGTGCCCAGCGACAGGACAAGGGGCAGCGGGCACAAACTGAAGCAGAGGAAGTTCCGCCTGAACAGGAGGAAGAACTTCTTCCCTCTGAGGGTGACGGAGCCCTGGCCCAGGCTG